CCCCCCCCCCCCCCCCAAAGAATCCCACAATCCCGCGATCCGCCTTTTTCCCTTGAAGAAAGAGCAGTTCAAGAGCATGCAGAGGGTAAATCACACATAACAGAAAGATATATGTAAAAAATTAATTTTTTAAATCTTGATATTTATCGAATACAAAAACAAATGTTTACAGAAAAAGAAATAGGAAGCCAAACACTGTTTAATTGGTTTGTATTTCGATACTTTTTCCATCTTGAATGTGTACAATACAATAAAAGTAGTAAACCCCTCCCGTTAGAGAAGACCCCCTTTAATTAGCGTTTTCCCATCAAAATATGCCTGACTCTTAGCATTTTAAGCTGAAAATATTAAGAGAATGTGTTCACCATTATGATGATACCTTTAAAACCCTCAAAATCGTGATGGAAATTCTGAAAAATCGCCTTAGTTTTCTTGAAAAACTTTAAAATAAAATATTGGGGAAAATGCAGTTCTTAATAGAAGACCCAGGGTCTTCTAATTTGAGGGGGGTATACCAAGTGTTAATAATTAACTAGCAACTTGCTCTGCACGACGTTTGATTTCTTCATCAACTAGTTTTCGTTGTATTTCTTTAGGTAAAGCACAATTAAGACTAAAAATAAATGCACTCATCGATCTTGGTACTCCGATGAAATCTATCAAAACTTTAATGAACATGGTATCATTAATGACATATCGATTTAGTGGTGCTGGCACATTAAACTCATCTAAAGAAATAAATTTTGGAATTCCTGATGCAATATTCATTGAAAGAGATGGTCGCTGAAAGCTTAAACTTTTTGTATCCGGTCGGAATGATTCAATAATATGTTTAGCCTGTTTTAGTTCACCTGATTCCATTATAGTTTGTTGATCATAGAGACAAAACGATACTCGATAGGAAAATGGCCATTGTAAGAGTGCATCGTATGGACCACGAAGAATAATCAGAAAAATAGATACATGGGTTCCGCGTGCACTACCATCACCATTAAGATACAGTCGGACACATAATTTATACCCAGACTCAGAAGTAAAGAATACCGGTGAATAAATACTTGTTTGACGTTCAGATTGTGCATCGTACATTTTTTCGAGAACATTTTCTATTCTCCAAATCATACTGCCATCTAATATATGAGATTTTGCTAATTGATTTCTATATTCAACTTGTTGTTTAAGAATGTTAGCCTCAGATTCTAAAACTTGTTCATTAATACCCATAACATTAATTTCATTTCTTTGTATCTCATTGTTTTGTTTTGTGTCATCTATCTCTGTTGGAAACGATTTTAATAGATTCTGGGTTTGAAGTATAGTTGAACTCAAATGAAGAAGTTGATCTTTGAGTGTCTCAAGCCTTTCTACATTTTTTGAAATGTTTTCATGTGTCTTGTAAAGGTTTTCTGTTGTGCCATTTGTGTTACTATCGTGATTTGAGTTACTCGTCTTGTTTTCGATAATATTTTGTGCCAATATCACAAGACGTTTTTGATGTTCTTCTGTAGTAAAATGTTTTTCAATTGTTGCTGCCTATAAATAATACACTAAAAGTGAAACATGCTGAAATCTTGTATCTGAATACCTTTTGATCTTTTGTGCAACCAAGCTCAGCCAATGGGCACAGTTCAGTATTCGACAAACCATATATGCTGTTGTTTTGGTCACAATTTGAAATATCGCTCATGGAGATTAAAATGGTTTACTAGAAAAATATGCGATACAATGTTCAAAAAGTTTTGCAAAATAAATTTATTTAATATTTACAAGAAAGATTCTTATATTAGTATTATTGACGGTTCATATAGTTCTTGATTTACATATTTATATTATAAATCTTGCTTTATGAAAAATATTTGTGAAAACAGAGTAGGAGTCTATAGAGTACTTTATACATTTACACTTTGAAAAGGGAAAACCTGGACAAAAGTCTACGTTTTGAACAGTGTTTTATCTAGGTTCCATTTTTCGGGTGGCTGGTTGAAATTTTTGGACGGGCTGCTGGCTAGAAAATTTGTTATCATATAGTAACGGGTGGCCCATGAAAAATGGCGGTCTCATTATTTACTCAATATCCTTTTTGCTCTTCATTGATTTGAACTGAACATTTTCCCAAAAGATTCAGCATTCGATTCGCTACAAACTCACTTGTAAAATATTTTTTAAACTACAAAATGGTTAAGTACTAAAACGCAGAAAAAAAGGTCGAAAAATCTTCAACTTTCAAGCACTAAATCCTTTGTTTTTAAAAATTTGCTTTCCATGTGAGGATCTGCAAAAAAAAACTCAATCTACCATGTTAAAGAGCATCAGATTCTGGTTAAGATTCATATCTTCGAATTTTTTTCATTACAAAATGAGTAACAAATTCTGCATCAATATTTTCGCTTTTTCTAAAAAACACAACTGTCATATCATGTTTTTTATGCGTGCACTAAAATGCATGTCACTCACTAAAAAAAGTGTTCTTTTTTGACGATTATTTTTTCTTTGAAAGCCAACATACTCGACTACACCCCTGTACACTTGTTCGAGTGATGCAAAGTTTCGTTTGCAGTAGACTTTCTTGTAAACCGAAATTAAGGCGTTATGGACGAGTTTTCAGAAAATATCGATTTAATAGGCGAAGACCACTTTTAAAGAAATGTTTTTCAAAGATATCGAAAAAGAGCGTACTTGAAAATACCAGAAAATGTTTCTCCCGTAACTTAAGCCTGCGTATAAATTGTCGAAAAATACTCCAAATGTTAATGTATGCATGCTGACCTTGAAAGTTGAAGATTTTTTAACCTTTTTTCTTCGTTTTAGTACTTAGCTGTTTTGTAGTTTTAAAATCTCTTTTACATATGAGTTTGTAGAGAATTGAATGCTCAATCTTTTGGAAAAATGTTCAGTTCAAATCAATGAAGAGCAAAAACGATATTGAGTAAATAATGAGACTACCATTCTTTATGGGCCACCCGTTACTTTTATGAAATCAACTGTTTATTTTCGGGTGGGCGCCGCCCACCCTGCCCGTACAGTAGATAGATCACTGGTTTTGAAGAATGAATAAAGATTTTATGAATTTTGATTATGTTCTAAATCAGAAGAAAATTGATCTGCATTAATAAAAATAAACTTGAATTTTATATAAATCGAATTTCAATATTTTGTAATTGATCATGTCAAATACTTTGAATTCCTCTGTCAAGACATGAATACCATATACTAGTTACTGGTCTACCACTAAATTATATGCAATTGCTTTACTAATTATTTTTATAATAATTACTTTATTCAAATCTAATTTTATTCAGAAGCTATCTCATGATTGACAGAACACTATTTGTCATAAGCGGCTATCATTCTATGAAAAATAATGTCCTCTATCAAACAACAGACTATGATTACTGGGTAGGATTCTAATTTTTTGACTATGCGTCAGTTTAAATTGAAAGATAGAAAACAAAAAGTAATACCAGAGCTTGTAATATCAATAAATCATGAGCTGTATGCTTAATTTTCAAACAACATTGCTAATAAAATAGAGTTTCGATATCGTCCGGTATAAATTTATTCCAAAGATTGTTTAATGCCCAAACTTTTGTTTTTATCAATGACTAACTGAGTTTTTCTTTCGAGAACATTCTAGTAAAACAAAGTCAGCTCTGTTGCGTCCAATGAAATATATACTTTACAATATTAAGATTGCATGATGGCGATGCAATAGCAATGAAATTTTATATGCAAATCAAAAATGACTCATTTTAACATAGAATAGTCACTTCAACTACAATATATAAAAGTTATTTTTAATTTTCTATCTGTTCTTCATCATATTTACGCATGGCATATGTAGCAAACATGAAAAGGCATTAAAACAGTGCCATATGTTCATTTTCGAGATCTTACGAAACGATACAGATACCGTTTATCATCGCCATCTACATACTCCTGGATACAAATAACTAATTATTTTTAAATCAGAGAATGTGATAGAATTGAACTGTTTATCGAGAAGAAAAGGTGGGAATCAGTGATCAAATTTTACTAGTGTTACTCATGAAATAGTTAATCTTTCTAGCCATCGTTGTATGTTATCTAAATGAGTAACTGTTTCTACTTGTACACTTGATTGCGTAATATAATTATAAAAGATAGAAATGCTTATTTGCAATAGATTTCTCCAATAGATGATAAAAATGATATGACTAATGAAAGGATGAATCTACTGTATGTATGAAACAGACGCCAAATATAGGTAGATCTACAAAACAAAAACAGTGATTGCTTTTGTTGCTGCTGATAATACAAGTCAATGTATGATATATTAATTGGATCACATGTAACTACCTAAATATTCTGAAATAACATCAACGATGGAAGATCGACGAGAAATGTAAATGTGAATGTACTGCGAATATCCACACGGACTACATTTTCTATGTGCACAATTCTACAATCACCTACCTTAATAATTGTCAATGAACTTTGGAATAATCTCGAAGTGTTTCGTTAAAATCTGCTACGAATCAGAGTTGGTTTTGTTATTGCCTTTGATTCAGTAGACAATTGAGGTATTGATTATTCATATAAATAATTCGAAATAGTTTCCTCCAATCTCATCTATGTTAGAGAATATAGTAGAAAAAGAAAAAATTCCATTTCTGTTTTAACCTTAAATAGGTTGCCGTTTTTTTTCTAGTTGGAAGTTTCCAACTGACGTGCTTACTATGAAATTTTTTACTTTCTACTAAGCAAACAAATGTTGCATGATTCACCATTACAGAATTCAACATGTTAGGCATAGAAATTGATATGCTTCATAGTACTGATTCTAATCAAGTTTTTTAATGATACTGTCTCTTCATACATTTTAAAATTTACATTTCTTGTTGATCGAATTTTATCTTCACCAGCGAAATAAAAAATGATCTAAAAGAGTTGACTCAATATAAATTAAGACAACTTAAGTAGAAAAACATGTAGTTGTAATTTTGTCTCTCACACCAATAAAAGTCTAAAAAATAACCATAAATTGATTTTATGAGACGATACTGTAAGACAGCAAAATGCTACGAAATATCCAAATTAAAAATAGAATAGAATTTGAGAATGTGAATATTCGCTAAGCATCCTAGGCTTAATTTGAAAATAAAGGAAAGTTTTTCAACTTCCGAAAAGACTAGTTTTATTTTCCATGTTGTGTGATACATATGTTCAAGCTTGCATCTTACTATTATGAAATAACAAAATAAATCGGCAGTTATTTCATATAGCTTGCTGGGAAGTCAAGCTATAAATGTCGAATGATGAAGCTATATGTAACAACATTAACACACGTATTATATATATATATAATAATCTCATTCAAAGTACTACAATTTTTTTCATGATTAAACCTTGCTCGTTGGGATAAAGAATATTATAAACAAATAAAATCAGTAACAAAAATACTTTTTTTAAGAATAAAAATTTGACTTTTTCGTCTGCTCTAAACCGGATTCACTATGAAAAAGTATCAGTTTGAAAATGAGAACACTCAACAATCGACCTTTTCAAACAAGAAATGTCAGATTTTCATTAACAAAAGGTCTCATTTGAATTCGGAGTAAAAAAAACAGCTGAAGCCCACACCCTTGGCACTTCTCAGTCATCGTTTCCATTATAACACAAGCTTCGTGCGAAATAAAATATAGATTTGAAATACTTCATTTACTTGTTCCCTTTTTTTTTTAGGAAGACAAGTATAAATCAATTTATTTAAAAGAAATTCTTTTTGCTTTTTGATTCCCCAATACAAAAAAATCATTGTGTTTCTTCATACATATTGCAAAATAGCAAGTAATCACAAAAGAAAAGGAAATTAGAAAAAACAATTATGCTTTCTTTTCTTCATTGCTTGTTTTCGGCATACCATTTAATTTTTCTAGGGCCAACATTAAAGCATGTGTACCTAATTTTTGTTTACCGTCAGCAGCCAAAATATCATAAAGCATTTTAGATTGTATTAAACCGGGTAAAATAAGACCCACTCGACTTGCTTCGTCTAGTGCAATACCTAAATCTTTGATAAAATGTTCAACATAAAATCCAGGATCAAAGTTGCGTTTAAGTATTCGTGGCCCATAATTTGACATTGAAAATGTTTGTGCAGCACCAGAACTTAATACTTGAATAACACTTTCACAATCAAGACCAACACGTTGAGCATAAAGAAGTGATTCACACATAGCAATCATACCAGATGAAATAGCTATTTGATTAGCCATTTTCGTATGCTGGCCGAAGCCTGCATTACCCATTAATCGAACATTTTTTCCCATAACATTAAAAATAGGTAAACAAGCATCAAATACATTTTGATCACCGCCGACCATAATAGAAAGTGTTGCATTTCTAGCACCAATATCTCCACCTAACGATTAACAATAACAAATTAATGAACAGCAAAGCATTCGTTTATTGAACAAACAAAGATTTCTGTTTACTTATCATCGAGATAGTTCTGAGACAGGTAATAACTCATACTAGACTCTTAGAATCATTAAAAGACGAAAAAATATCTATGCCAAATAATAGTAATTTTAGGTAAGAACTGGACAATATTCGAAAATCACAAATGTATTTTGTTGTTTCTTTTTTAGAAATGCAAAAAAATATTCTCCATTGTACCCAATTTAAGATGGTATTTTTCTCCGAAGTATGGCTATGCATAAAAATGATATCTACACGAATTTTCTGATCAAAGGAAAGCTTTCAGACATAACTGGACTTGCCAATAGTTATCCAAGAAAAATATACATGAATTTAAAAAATTTTTCATGCATCAGACTTAATATAAATCTGTTTGTTGATCAGCTCAATAAAATAATTTTGAAAAGTTGTTTTAAATTGAAAACAATGATATTAATTGAAAATGTCAATAAAGCGATTTTTAGTCTTTTAAGAGAAAAAGCGTTTTAGAGCTATTCATTTTTCGTAAAAGAGAATGTGCCAGACTCAATTCTAAACGTAAAAATCCTGATAATTCTTTTGCTCAAGATCATTCTATATGTGATTATTTATTTTGATAAATTAAGTTTCTGATTAGTCATTAGTTGGTTAAAAACTGATTTGATTAAATTTTCCTGTCAGTAATGTCAAGTTCCATGTCGTAAAATCAACTGTTTACTTTTTTTTAACGAATAGAAAACAAGATAAAAGGATATGTTTTTGACGATCTGTTTCTCAACTATTCAAAAAGTGTTCTTTTTACATCAATCTACCTGAAACTGGTGCATCAAGTGCATATGCACCCCGCTTTTTAAATTCTTCATAAACTCGTACAGCCAATGATGGCTTTGATGTTGTCATATCAATTGATATTTTGCCAGATTCAAAACCGTTTAAGACACCATTCTTAGAATCAAGTAAAACTTCTTCAACATCTTTTGGATAGCCAACAATAGAAATAACAACATCGGATTGTTGTGCTACTTCGAGTGGTGTGTTTAATAATGAAGCACCAAGTGAAATAAGGGAATCAGCTTTAGATGCAGTACGAGTGAATATATTTAATTTATAACCTGCTTTTATTAAATGACCAGCCATGGAAGCTCCCATCACACCTATACCGATAAAACCAATACGCGTCGTAGCAGGCGATGCCAATTTGAGAGAGCTCATGTTTAATTTTTATAAAAATCTACAGAATTTTTTTAAAATATTCACCCACTGAAATCCAAATCGTTTTCTTAGATTATTCCTATAATATTAATCATGTAAAACAAAAGCAACAATATAAGTAAATGAAAATTAAAAATGATCGCCGTTTTCGATTGAAAGTATGTCACCAAGAGAGCAGATATTCTCTCTTAGGGGCTGACTTATTAAACAGCCCAACAGTGCTGGCAGCAAATGAAATTTTATCGAAATAAAATTTAATAGATTGCTGCTGCTGCTACTGTGACACGGCGTCGTGTGAGAGACCGACCTGACATGGAGTCTATGTCTGTCGTCGCACGAGCACAATATTCACATGTAAGCAGCCTAGAAAAGTCAGACACAAATCGATAATTAATATTATAAATATAAATAAAAGTGTATCAAGAATGAAATGTATATATTCTCTCCTTTATGATTTCATCGACAAACATATAGACACAAATGAAACAAAACATTGAATGACAGTGAAAAAGAATGAATAATGAAACTGAAGAAATATCGATTGCAATGAAAGTAAAAGAGAGAGAAAGATTATGAAATCGATGAAAATCGTTCATCCTTTTCTTTCAACTTTTTCTTGTTTTTGTTTTAGAGACAAATATGAGGAAACAAGAATGAATCAAACATTCACGTACATTGTTCTAATGATCAAAAACGTTGACCATTGAATGCCATTGGAGGAAATCCTGTGGGTGGTACCATGAATGGTAAACCAGGCATGGGTGCTAGAAGAAAATGTTCTATATCAAATTAATATGAAAACAAACGTTAACATACGCGGTATGAAATTTGCCATTGGATGACCACTTGGCATTGGTGGCATCATCATTTGTTTATATTTTGGCAAAGAAGCACGAAATTCTTCCTAAATAACAACAAGAAAATTCATTGGTTTTGTTTTTCAAATTGTTCTATATTTTAGAATCTTACTAATGAAATATCTTCATCAGGATGAATAATTTTGGCTGTACCAGGCACAGGTTCTATCTTTGATTTATTGCCGGGCAATGATCCCGATGCAGTTGCTGATAAATGAGACATAGCATTTGCAGCTGATACCATTTTTGTCATATGTGACGAAGAGTTAACATCATTATTTGCCTAAACTTCAATATTAATGCACAATATTGTCTTAATGTATCAAACTTACATCAGTAGTTCCGCTAGGAAAAAGTGGTTTACCAGAAGTGGGACCAGCACCTAACATTGGATTCGGTGGTAGAAGAGAACCAGAATTTCCAGGTGCTGACGGCATTACTGGCATCGGTGGTCGTAATTGTGTCATCATAGGGACTGGCATCATAGGAAGTTGCATCGGGGCCATGCCATACGGTATACCAGTGAATGCCATGGGCATCATCGGTGGAGCAGTCATCATACCTAACGGTGGCATTGGTGGCATACCTACTATTTGAGGTGGTTTCACAGTATCAGTTGTTTCTGGTTCATCTTTATCTTTACCAGCAAGCCGTTTTTCATGTTGACGAAGATCTTCTTCTGGTATACCTTCCATACCATAAATTTCAATTTCAATATTATCTCGTCCTTTAATGGCATTGGGAACTTTATCAATATTTTCTTTATGAACCTAAGCGAATAAATCTCTAGTAAAAATAAAAACTAGTTAAATAATTTTATACTTGTATTGAATGAATCTGTAAACCGGGTCCAGTATACAATTTTTTATGACATAGATGGCATTTGAAATGTTTTGCTTTTTGATGTTGTAGTAAAATTTTCTCATCATCAAATTCGCGATTACAATACCAACACCATGGTTTAGTTTGCTTCTTCTTTTTTCTGCCCATTTTAATTTACCAATATATATGTATATATATTTATCTAAAACAAAATGAAATAATATTACTGTTTGTCTTGTTTTTTTACTATAAATACAACACAATGAATGTTATAATAATAAAAAATGTATTTCATGAAAAGAAACATTATGATTGATATGATTTTCGCCAATATGGGTCAACTACTAGATCTTTCATTTATTTTAGATCTCACTCAATCATCATTATTCTATCGTTAAATATAATCGAATATGAAATAAAATGAATGATTAGTTCAATTTTATTACAACTACAATTAATAACAACAAGTATTTCATAAGATAGAATTTAATGCATAACTTTTTCGATTATATCAGGCGACTAATTCATAAAAAATATATTCCTATAATTTTTGAAGCAGAATTTTTCTGTAGTCCAAATAACTGATTCATACACATGTACTAATCGAAATAGAATGTTCAACGTAGCTCGAATTCCCTATTGAAACCTAAAAGACAAATGGGATATTTTAGTCACAACAAAAAAGTTTCCATTTCAATAATCAGAGACCAGTTAATTCAATTAAACAGGGTTTAATCTAGATTTATATTTCTACCTCTTGTATAACTGCCTTATCTCAACTAAGAATGAGATTGCAAATAAATCGAAGGTCATGTTGACTAAATTTCTTTATCTTTATAACAAAGCAATAGTTTCAGTTAAAAGATATATCATCGAAGGGAGATCTCAATAGAACTTAACATTACGTGATAGTTGCAGTTTATTATGTCGTCTAACTAATATATTATACAAATTGTTCCTCAACTATTTTTATAATCAGTAAATTCCGTCACAGACGAGATCCTCTAGAAAGATAAATAGATTCTAGTTATTATTTGGTTTATGAAAAATTTTGAGTAGAAATTAACAGTCGAATATTTGATTTTAACTATTTTTGTAATCAGGCTTTGGAATCGCATAGGATCTAGAAGCTTAAAAACTGTTCGATTCATTATTCTATAATTAAATTTATGAATCAAATCTATAATCAAGAAGATGTTCAAAGATTTATATACTAAAATCTGGCCTCCGATTGCACTTGTTTAAAAATATAGGAATCCTTAGAGGATCAAGGTTGTCAAAGATATAGGATTTTCGATAAAAATGACAAAAATATAGGATGTTTTATACGTAGTTTCTGTTGAATTGTTTTGCTGTTTTTCAACTGCCCTGGTCGAAAATCGTTTTAATGAAGCTGTTATCAACAGTTCAACTGTAGCCAAGATCCTTATGTATTTTTTTCTACGGAAATAAGTCGCTAATTCGAGGATCATTATAAAAGTTTTTCACAAATCGATAAATAACAGTAAAGTAGATCATAAGCTTTGAAAAAACAAATACATGAAAAAGACAAATACTATTCTCATAAATTAAAGGAGACGTTTCAGATTACGGACATGACTTCCCAAAAAATTTCAACCTAATTTTATTGTCGCGACAATCAGCATTCATCGCTTATTGTTTTCCACAAGTTTATTTTTGCATTTTATCATGACTCAATTTGTTCTGGTAATAAACAAGTGTAAATGAAAATGCATATCACAGGATGATGTAAAATTTCACGAGCTTTCAGAAGATGTCGTTACTTTAAAAAAATATGTTCTTTTAGTAACAGTATCTTCAAAATACAGAGTAAAGCTTATTCTTTCCAGGGGTATATATATACAGCTTTTATATCTAACTAAAACCTCACTAAAAACCCGAAACTAGTACATAATCATTTTGTGAATGTTTTTTTCTTTTGAACTATTTTGTATTTTGTACTTAGTATTAAACAATTTCTCAATCAGCCCACTAAATAGGCGAAAGGAAAAATACTATTTAAAAGAAATGTCACTATAATACAAGAATTGTCCAAAACACATGATTATACACATGAAAAGTTTTTTTTCGTCTAAAGGCAATAGCAAAATTAAGAGGTTTTTGGAAATTTTCTACTTTCTTCGATAAAATATAGGAAAAATAGGAATTTTCATTAAAATATAGGACAAAAATAGGACGTTTTTGAAAATAGAGGAAATATAGGTCGAATCGCCGCCCAGACTAGAATACAAAAATTGTTTCAAAACAAACGATCTGTTATTAGGAAAAGTCTGACAAAAAAATCGATTATTTGTTATTAAAAAATGATTACTTACATTCGTCTTATTTTAATTTATTTGACCTGAATTTAATGAATTCAATCGAAAACCGTTTTAATGAGAATCATTCGAGCTGACTTTTCAATTCCACTTGTCTTCTATTGAGAAATTCATTCAAGTTTGTTTTCAACCAGTTAATTGTTTGTATGTGTCTGTATCTGTAGCACACAACAATGATCAAATAAGCTGTTTGGTATCTTGAGCAATTAAATTTTTATTGATTTTTCTATTTTTTTAAAATTAAAATAGAGAATAATTAGCATCATGCAAAGTCTTTGTCTTTTTGTTTAAAATATATTGTATATTGACGATAGATGTCCTTGCTATCAATGAAAAATGTCAAGGTTGAAATCGATACAATCGATGAAAAGATATATTACTTTGTAAAATAAACAGAAAAGAAACATTCTTATAGAAAAAATTAAGACAATCAAGGATGTGACTTGATAATTGATTTTAGTTCAGTTCAATTGATAATACTAAAATTATTCTAATAGAACTTGGGATTATGTTTGAAATTAGCTCAGAAAATAATTTTTGCAAAGTACAAATATGAACTCTTGATTCTTTCAACTACGTCATTTATATGATACATATGTTACAGGCGAGATTGAAATGCTCATATCTATACTGAAGTTCTACTGTCTATTTGACTCTTATTGGTTTCAGTAAACATGGTATCATTAGAAAAAATAGCGCAACATTCGACTATCTATGGTTTCTTTACAGCATTGATTCTTGGAACAACTGGAGGCTTATTTAATCTAATCACATTTTCAAACAGTTCCTTTCGAAAACATGCATGTACGTACATTCTATTTTGTTTGCTCTTCGTTGCTTGATCTAATTTTTATTAATTACAGCATTAATTATTATTCGTTTGATGGCGGAATATTTAGGTAGCAATAGGGTCAACATCAACCGTAGTCTATGCAAAATACGTTCCTATTTAACAGTTTGCCTACTAGGTATGACTTCAACTGGTGTTTTATTGGTAACTTTTGATAGGAATGCGCGACATCGGCAATTAAGCTCTTTACATTTTGCGAAAAGACTATTCGTCGTAACCATGCTGTCTTATTTATTTAGTTGTATGCCGTTTTCTTCGGATTGTTTATGATCTTCGAAATGGTACATGTGTACGATTGTCTGGCTTGCAATCTATCATAGTCACTGTTTTCAGTGTTTTTGCTGTTAATATCGCTCCTCATGCAGATATGTTGTTGTTGTTTTTTATTCATAACGTGGGTACATGAATTGTCATCTGATTATTGTAGCATTTCTGCATGCTTTTTTATCGGTGATTATTGCATCAATACATTCTGTCACTTACTCATATAATGTGATCACAAGTTATGCCAAGAAGAGCATCGAATAACAAGCTATAGAATATCTAATTCAGTAAATTAGTCTTCTAATATTCTACAACAATTTTTCTATGCCTTTTTATATTAACTACTGTTCTAGCTCTTTATGTAGAAAAGGTTTTCGAGCATCTTTTCAAAAACTGATTCATGAATATTTATGTTTTCGTAAATGTCGTTAAATTCGTATGTTGTGCCTATAAACAGTAAAAATAAAGCCGATGTTATCTTGGTATTTATTTGTTGTTTCATTAAAATTTATCCCGATAAACATATTGCTGTATTCAATAATAATTCAAACTCTTGTTAAAATTGTATGATTTAGCACGAAGATACTTCTACATTGCTCAAATCAACATTTCGATAGCTAGAGAAATCGATAGGAATTTGACATTATTGAAGAGCCAACTGAGAAACAATATCGATGATGATAATAATAATAATAATAGATTCAATCAAGGAATATTAAAAAGAAAATAAAAGCAAACACTTACATGTAAGAACATTAGATTCAGTAGTTTTTGAAAGCGTTGATCTATGATTACTATTCACGATACTTCAATTCGTTTTAATTGAGTGATAAAGCCAAATCATTCGGCATTGTACCGTTATTCGAGACTATCATGTATTGTTTTGATCAAATCTTGAAAGGAAAACTTCACTGTTCCTAGTCTTTATTATACTATCGACTAAATTAACTAATGTTCTTCTTTGTCGCGAGTATTCATTTTTAACATTATTCAAGTATGCATAGCAATTTATGATTCATTTAAAAATAATATTCCACTTTATGAAACATATTTAGATAATTAAAACATTTTCTTAATGTATACGAACGTGGTATATAGAATAAACAAAAAATCTAGCTGATCGCCAAGGGTTACTTGTCTCTTACTCATAGTTTTCATAGATCAATCGATTCACTTTATTCTTTATGTTCGACATATTAATGAAATGTTTTTTTTTTGCAATGATCAACTGGCATCATAGAAAATAATCGATTATTTAATATAATTATTAAATCCCATTATTTATCGTAATTCGAGAGAAATAGATCATTTTTAAATGAAAAAAACATAATCACATATCATTTTTAATAAGTTAATGAATGAAAAGGCAGAAAAGTTCCCGCTTTTCCTCATATATCTTAATGTTCGTTCTAACAGAAGTTTCTGTCATCTCAATAAAAACAAAAGTAATTCGTTGATTATTCTATGTTTATACAACATCAATTATTAGTCTTCGTAACCATAATATATTCTGACGCATTAGAAAATTTTCACAATGATGCCTATATCATTGAAAACGGACCATTTGGTTTAACATTTATAGAAAAAAATGATAGTTTTGTCGATTGGGTGCGTGTACCTGAACAAAATTATAAACAATGGATCCTTGCACTGAAAGTTTGGCGTATTGTAAGACAAAACGGTTTATTTTTTAAACGATAGAATTTATGTTACAAACGATTCGTTTTAGTGTTCAATAGTTCTCGGTATACTTTGTTTAATTTCTGCAGTACTTGTTCTTGCTTATATAATTCATGGTTTTCTTTCAAATTCTACTGGTCCGTTTAGCTGTGTAACTGATGCTAAATCTGATGATCTATCAGTCGTATCTGATACAAATATAACCGCTAATCTTCGGCAATTTGCATTGAAACATGATTTTCCACAAGCATACCGTCAAGAACAAGAAATTCAAAGAGCAAACTATGATGATGTTGAACAACATTTATCTCCTATGGTACGAAATCCGATAGCATCTCCATTATATACTGATCAGTTGGCATTAAAAAAGCTAGCCAAGTAATCATATCGAATTATTATATTTTATTTTCTTGTAATATACTTGCTAAGTGAAAGAAATAAAATGTATTTTGATTTAAAAGTTCTTGGCTACTTCAACCATTTTGTTAAGAACAATATTAGCATGTTTTTCCGTAAAAATTAATGCTGGTCGAAATCGTACAGATACATCACCACATGCACCTATTTGAATGCCTACGAATAAGAAAAACAAACTAGAATGCGATAATTTCTTAATTAGCTCATTTACCGGCATTTCTCATTTGATTTATAAATTTATCACGTACTGACGCATTCGGCATATCAAATGCACAGAATGTACCCAGACCACGTGTATTAAGAACCAATTGGGGATATTGTTTGCTGACATTTTTTAAACCATTTAAAAATAGGTCACCAGTTTTTCGTGTATTTTCAATTAAATTTTCTTCTTTTACTGTTTTCAATATTGCATCTAACACTAACATTTTTGCTGGTTCACCCATCCAAGTATTAAAAATACGATAAGGCTATTAAATATGAACAGTGAAATCAATTTGTCCTTTATACTGATTAAAAAAATTAACCTGTTTAGGTTGGAATTTTGCTTTAGCAAAATAACCTCCAGTTTGAAATTTTTTCGAAAATGTTACTATATCAGGTGATGCAGGTAAGTTAAAATATTCGTGTGCCCAGAATTTCCCCGTGGCACCAAGACCTGTTTGAACTTCATCGACAAGTAATGCTGCACCATTCTAAGAAGAAGAAAAATGAATGTCATTTTCTCTATTATTTTTTTTCTTCAAATCGATTTCTCAACCTGATTCGTTAATTTTTGTAATTGTTGAAAAAAATTTGGACTTCCATGATAATCACCACCTTCACTCTGAATTGGTTCGACTACAACACCAACGACTGGCTTCTGTTTTGATTTGTATTCATGAAATAGTTCTTCGATCTAATTAAGAAAAAATAATTTTCAAATTTCTTTTAAGCAGCTTGTTTTTAATTTTTCTTCTATAGATAGTGCTCCAATAATCTCACAGATGAATTTCTATTGATATTAAAGAAAATAATCGGTGACCGAACTTGATAATATTTGATGATGACGGTAATATATATGAAGGAATAGAGTCAATAAATAACATAGGTTTGGAATATCAAACGATTGATTTTAGGATCGTTTAAATATCTCCGTACTTTTAATAAATTCATCATTTTTTAGATAAATCAGAAATGAAATAGATGCATGAAAAAATACCCGGAGTTCTGATCTCCCATGAATAGTATGTTGTTTTTACTCGACTTCTCATGTTGTGTAAAAAATCTCTAATAAAATCTATGACCTTCGTTTTGAGATAGTATTATTTTTATAGAAATAATGAAAAAAAAACTTTTTTTGTTGTCTTTTCAATTGCTTTCATGAATACCTGAGGCAGTAATATATTACAGGGCTCGTTCTTTGAAATAAACTATATAATTACGATATAAACTTCTATAAATAGATGTTTCTTTTGTTTTTGAAGCATCTTGATATTCAGCGAAATAATTAATGTGTAAGAAAAAAGTTTACAAAAGTATTCATCGCTAAAAGAGATATTTAGGATCCTTTTTTTTTGGCGTTGATGAGTATCGTTCGAGAAAATTACAATATAAAACTTTCAGTCTTATGCAATTTCTCATCTGAAATCGATATTTTAGAAACAGTTGAGATTTAATTGGCTCAAACTTTTTTTCTCTCTTGTGTCAATTTGTGTTTATTCATATTCTATATTTATGAAAGAATTTTACTTTTCGAGAGAGAGGAAGAGATGACAGCAAATTGATCCATTAGTTCTGGGCTATTTTCAAACGATAATCTCGGTTCTATTTTGAATGAAAAAAGAAAACACTTACACGAGCTAAGCATTTTTCATCTTCTTTTGCATTTTCTCGTTCATTGGCTTCCAATGGATATTTATATCTTGGAAATGGTGCAATGGGCCAATCGAAGCTTGGAATGTCAAGTTTATGAATCGGCTTCGAATGTGTGCATGATAGTGCACCTGAATAAATAGTTAATAAAACAATCGTCAAGATTTTTTAATTTTTTATCTTACCAAATGTTCTTCCATGGAATGCTCCTTCAAATGACATAAGAGAAACAGTGGGACAACCTGGTGCTTTGTTATACATAGACGATTTTAAATCTTCATCAGTAAATGGCTTTCCATCACGATGTTTATCGGCATACCAAATACAAATAGCTTTGAATGCGTTCTCATTAGAACATGAACCACACATCATGGGTTGAACATATTCAAGGCCCTTAGGCGCAACCTAGATTGGCAAGCAATGTTATTTACGAATTAAAAGAACAAATACTAGTGAATTACTGGCAAAAGTATTTCCTCTATTTGCTTAATAAATTGAGGAGTTGGATGAACTCCAAGTGCTGGTCGATTCACAAGTTGACTCTAGAAAATGAAACTAAAATGATTTTCGAATTTAATAATCTACTATAACGAACCAAGTTTTTTGGATCTTGAAATACTTTTTGAATTGATGGGTGGTTGTACCCTTAATAAAAATAAAAAAAAGAGAAGAAAAACGATTAGAAAAATATAAAAATCTGTCTTGTTCATGCTGAACTGATTACCAAGTGGAAGAGAAGCAATTTGCTCATAAACATCCAACATGACATTGCCATCAATGTCGACTGAATAATTTCCTATCGATTTTTCAACATCGAGTACAAAAACTGTACTGAAAGGATTCTAAATGAAGACAGTAGAGAATCCATATTTTTGTATATATTTAAACAAAAACAGTAGTGCCAAACTTGAAACTTGAATTCAGTTGAACATAGAAAATTTCAACTTTCAACTCATAGCAATATATGTATGAGTCACGATTATTCAGAATGCTATTGTTTTAAAAGTTGAAAATTTTAATTTTCAATTGAATTCAAGTTTCACTTATATGAAAAAAAACAGAAACACCTACTTGCGTTTTTTCGAGTTTTTTGATGAACTCTTTCGATTTTGGACCCTAATATATTAAGAGAAAATAAATTTCCAATAGCAAAATTTCACAATAAAATTTCGACTTCGTACTGGTATTTCTGTGTTCATTTTTGGACCCGATGGTTCGTGACTGAGAATACTGTTTACTAAATTAATTTTTAACGTTTTCATTAATTATACTTAAAGTAATGATAATCTACAAACCTCGACATTGTGTACGAGTTTGTAAAAGACTTCGAAGATGAAGAAGACGTGCAGCTCTCATATCTAAATAGAACACAACAATGGAAGCAAAGCAGGCTCTTCACTCTCGTCAATAAATAGCAAGTAAAAAACAATATCTTTTTTCGATTTGCCCTATATTCAAGGGTGCACACTCTCAAATGATGAGAAAGAAAACGAGAATAGCACGTTAAGTAATGTGTTCCGTTCTCTCGATTATTTTCATATATTTACGTACTGCATTTCGAATAGGCTCCTTATCGTTCCTCCTCTTTTTTATCAGTTTGAACTCGGGATATAGTTGTTGTCAAACATATCAGAAGTGCAATTTTGTAAAAATATTTTATTCCAATAATGAATTAAGATAGAAAAAAAATTTAAAAAAAGAAGCTTTATCGATGAACATTAGTAAAATATAATCGAAATGTCAATACTCAGAGTCAATTATTATTAGCGTCGTCTATTGATCAATCTATGATTTGTTGTTGAGCTTGACAAATAACCGTGCAGCCATCAAATCTTCCTTTCTGTGCGTGTTTGCTTGAATTTAAATTTAACTTTGTTTTTTGATAAACGATGGAGCTAAAAAACTAGTAAGTTCTTTATCTTTAAGCATATTTACGAATTCTTGTTTTGATATTTTATCATCATCATTTAAATCTAATATTGCCATAATTTCATACGATATATAAGCAACACTATGTTTTTCTCGATCGATATCATATAGAATAAAAAGTGCATTGACAATCTGTTTTATTTCTTCGTAACTAATAAATCCATCTGCATCTTGATCATAAGCATTGTATAGCCATTCAAGTTTTTCTCGTGGTGTACTGCCATTACTATGTATATAAATAGCAATAAGATATTCATCAAATTGTATAAAATCGTCTTGTGCTAAACTATCAAAAGCGTGAAACAAAAATTCACAATAAACTTTTGATAATTTTGAGCGAAGTAATTTTTGATAAAAATCAATAAATTCACTTTTTGATAAGTGACCTGAAGGACAATTTTTTTGAAATGTTTGATAATAATGTAGAATTTGTTCACGAGTAAATTTTGTTCGATTCATTAAATAGTCTATCCGATCAGATGTGAGCTCATTGGTTGATGAAAATATTCCACACTGACTTTTCTAAATTAAGAAAACAATTAAATAAATATTTAAGAAGAAAAAATGAAACGAACTTTTGAATTCCAACTCGTTTTATTAAACATAGGTGTTATTAATTCAAGTAAATCTGTACATTGTTGACATAGTTGAATAAATTCTTCTAAATTTAATTGTCTATCATTATTAATATCAAGTTTTTTAAATAAAAATCTAAATTCATTTAGCCGATCTATTGTCAATAGTTTTCCATGAATACGATAAGCTAAATGACATAAACTAAAGAATTCATGTTCATCAATATGATGGTCAAGATTAGTATCATAAAGACAAAAAATCCATCGAAGTTTTTCATCATCATCTGTCTCAGGCATACTAATAGCTTTAAGAAATAGAATCTCTTTAAAATTTAATTGTCCATTTTTATCTGTGTCTATATGATGAAATAAACGTTCAAGTAATGGTTGTGAATTAGATAAATGTTTTAATTCATTTGAATATAGATCACAAAATTGTGGAAAATTTACATAACCACGTGGGTAATAAGTTAAGAATCGAATATAAAAATCATTAATCTGTTTCCGTGTAAAATGAGTATGAAGAATTATATATGATATTTCACGTTCATTTAATTCAGGATGTTCAGAACGAGCCGGATTAAGATTTCCCATTTTGATGATTGTATATTGGCGAGATTAGAAATGTGTACTTACTAATAAGATCTATGCCTGACAAGAATCAACTCTCATAATATATTCTTCTTCAACCGAGGGCGAAAAAGAAAAGATTATTGATGCCAGAGAAACTTATAGATAAACAGATAGCGTCATGAGATGTTTTCAGACATGTTTTTCATCATAAGAGATTCATATATTATTCATGAGTCATTTTTCGCTTGATTTCCTAATTTTATTCTTTTATATCATATTAATCATATGTATTTTCCGTTAAAGATGCCAATGTGAATCATGTTTTCTTCACAAGTTTTTACCAATACATCTTCTCATCTACAACTAAATACTTATGTACAACCAATGATGACACGTATTTTTCGATTTCTATTTTCTTTAGCTTGGAAAGCTGCCATTATGTAAGTAAAATACTGCGACTATTGATTCACAGAAGAAGAAAAACAACATTTTATAATATTTTAGTTTTCCATATTTATTTTCGTTTGGTACATTAGCTTCTGGTCTACAAATCCGTGTTGATGTTGATATTAATTAAATAAAATTTTTGTTTTGTATCATATTTTTTTATTATAACTTTTCCTTAAATATAATATATATATATATATATATATATACATATTACTTTATTTGTTAATAAAAACGGAACACTATCACTAATTGCAATAACAAGAAACTTAATAAATAAAATAATTCAAAAATGTTTTATTTACGTCCAATCATCGACTTGCGACGACATGTGCTTTTATTTTATCTACATAAATTATTTTGAGTATGAATAAGTCATAATCATAGCTGTAATTTGACATGATAATGATTTGATGTACACTATTGATATATATTATTTATTTCTTTAGGGTAAAGATGATTAAGAATATCGGAATTTACTGGTCTCAAAGAAAAAAAATACAAGCCAGTGTTAACGCTTTTATTGATACTATGAACAACGAGTACAGACAATGTCTACTTGTCGCACTATTATATTTTAAAGTAATTCTTAAGAAAAGTGTGGAATTTATTTCGAAATTTCTATCGACAAAAAGCTAAAACGAACAGTATTTTACTTGGTTTTTACCGTATTCTGGTTAATAAGAAAATTTTTTTCTAGTTTTTCTTTGCACTCACACGAGTAATGTTTATCACAAACATTGATAATTATGCTAATAGGAAACGTTCTAATGAGCCAATTAAATAAGGTTTATTTTTATTTCAGTGTAAAATTGTTGATATTATTTCGCCTTTTTCAACTAATCTAGAACAAAACTCAACATATTCTTTATTTTATTAGAAAAACTGAGTTAACGGATGATTTTCGGGTTGACTGAAATTGAAAACTTTCTGTTTTAGCATAAGCCATGATTGGTAATCGATTCTATTCATTTATCTTCATATGAAACATAAATTTAATGATAATAATTAGATGGAAACTATTTAAAATCACTTACTAAATTTAATTATGCTAATATCAACTAGCTATTTTGTTCTCAACATAATAGACGTACTTATTGAAGCTTGATAGAACTTTTTTTTTAACAGCCTTTAGTAATGATGTTTATCTATCTAATAATTCTTGATGGGATTATATATTCTTGAGAATGTGAGACTAAGCTTTTTGCAACTACTCATCAAGGTCATTATTTTGCAAAGTGCTGAGCAACTTCACATAGAAAACAGTGTACTAAAATGCATGAATTATCGTATTCATTTATTTCTTACTCATTACAACTCACTCAGAACATGTTCGATGAAACATTGCATTAAAAATATATACGAAGATGAACGAAGAAGTCTCATATAAATTTTCATCTATGATGTTCACTAATAGTATGTGTTAAATACTAAAGGAAAAAAGTAGACGATATATAAACACAAAATAATCGAAAATGGAATCAACAATTATATAATTTCTAAGAGACATGATACGTTGGTGTAAATTGTTTGACAAATAATAATTCCTAATAGTTAAATAACACTTTTGCATAGTTAGATTAATAAATATTTATTCATAGAATAGAATATTTAGTAATCGAATTTTTTTCATATCTTCAAATTCTTTAAATACATCGTTTATTCTATAAGAGAAAATGCGTTAATTTATAATAATAAAAACTTTTATTAACCATTCATTTCAGAAGAAGATTATAAAATTTGATTATAAAAAATAAATGCGTCTATGTTTAATTAATTAATTATAAATTAACAAAATTTCTGCTACTACTGAAATATTCGAAAAATTTTCATGCACGCATGTCTAAAAAAATGCTTATTTAATTATGTTGCCTCTTGTTGATGTTCCCTTCTTCTTTTGGGAAAAAATGGACAGCATTTACGTTTTTTACTATTTTCTATTGGATTATTTTCTTCGATTTTGTCAAATTGTATACCCGATGCAAAAATATTAAGTACTTGACGATGAATACGAATTTTTATTTCATCGCCTGATATTAATTCACCATCGCATGACAAATTACCAAGGGCTTTTCTATGCTCGCATTTCGGACGTATAAAAACTTCTCTGGCACAGTAATGTTCAACGTTGGGTAAATCGTTTATTAATCGGCCATCTTTAGCGACTTGCCAAAGAAAACGAAGAAAACCAGTTCGCCAGGAACGTTTTACAAGAATTAAATCGAAAGTTCCGTCACCTCGAAAGAAAAGCAAGAATAAATTAAATTTCTTAATCTAATTCATATTCTAGAAAATATGACATACCCAAATGAACATATGGTGACATTCCAAATTTACTTTTTGCACATCGACCCGGCATATTAAGACAATTTATTGTTGTATATCTTCCTTCGAGTTTTATTGTTGATAATGGATCGATACTAGTAGTATCATGAGTGTCTACTATGGCACACGTTTCACAATTTTTCCGACAAAATCTTGTTTTTGCTTCAAGAATTTTGTTTTCAAGAATTTTTAACGGCTTTTCTTTTTGATTGGTGTTATTTGTTTTTGGATCAGCATTATTTAATAGATGATGAAAATCGGGTAGAACAGGTGACTCAGAATCAACATCGCTGTGATTCTTTGTTGTTGTTGTGCGCGATAAATCGGCGTCTGATAATGTTATTGTTACTTCGCTGTTATATGATCGATTACGAATAAATTGAAAGAAACCAGCTAAATCGTATCGTAGTGGTCCTAGAAAACGCCATTTATCGGATTGCTGAATAATATCACCAAAAAACCCATAGGCAAGCATAACTGCCATAAAACTTACAAATCCTTTTTCGTTATGAACCTTTGAATGAAAAAGAGAAATATGCACAAATAAAAACAGGTAAACTTTTATTTACTGTTGCTATATCAATGGAAAGTGTTTCACCAACAATAATCTGTAAGGCACTTGTTACAGGATCATTAAGACCAGTTGTACCAAAAGCAACAGCATCAGTTGATCCTGCTGGTATAATACCAATTTTTAAATTAGGACGAATTATATTTACTTCCGGATCATCAATATCTACATTTGCTTCTAGAGATGTTCGTAGTAAAAGACCATGGCATAATTCAGCAAACATTCCATCACCACCAACACAAACAATACCATCGTAATCATTCAGATCTTCGTTCATTATATATTCTTTTGCTTGATTAGCACGCTCTGTATGAATGGTTGTAACTGCAATATTTGCTGCATTAAATATTGGTAAGACTGATTTTTCGAATACAACTTTTGCTTTACCTATACAATAGACAATAATAGATCTTTCTTTGTATTGATCGAAATCTTTTGGTTAACTAAGATAAATCTTTGCAATTTAAACATTAGTCTTAGCTTCAATTAAAAAATTTTCAAATAACTCATATTTGATCGGTACATTGATAAATATATATATATTATAAAAACTGGATATACTCTAAAAATAGTATTATCTTTAAAATATGTAATTTTAGTATAAAATAAAATCGTTTGACAGGTGAAATAGATTCTTAGCGCAACTTGTAAGAACGTTTAAAGGAGTAATAAAAAATAGTAAAATTTGAAAGCACAGTATAAAACTTATTCGAATGAGATTAAACAGAAAGTATTCTTTTAAATCATGTACTCGAAACTTTTTTCAAGTATAAATTATTTTTGTGGGAAAAATTTTTTCTTAAAATTGAGTCTAAACTTAATATTTATCATTTTCACTAAAAGAATTTCTATATCTATTCAGTAAATAAACTATAAATATTGTAACGAGAGCTGAAAAAGACCTAATAAAGATTGGCAAGAAAAAAACAAGCAAATCATATGTATCTATTACCTTTACCACCAAATGGATTAACAAACGCTAATAGTTTATGTGGTCGTTGTTCCAAAGTTGATAAACATAAATTTAAGTTAAAATATAATTCGTTTGTTATATCTTCCGTTTCCACTTCAATTTCTAATTTTTTTACACTCCATCGAACCAAATTCGATACATCAACATATCTTATTTTAATTACAGTTTTATATATTGGATCAGTTTCACCATCAATGTACGATTGATTAAAGAAAAATCGTCTCCGGCTACCTAGACGACGTATTTTTGGGGTTTGTTGTATAGTGTTTTCAGAAGCAAGCGTATTGAGCGTTGCACAACTTGCTTGTTTGGATGGTTCGTTCATTGTTGTGACCATAATGTTTCTATCAATTGGTTCATTATTATCATTAAAGTTTCTTTTATTTTTATTTGGTGCTTTTGTTAATTGTTGAACGCTCAGTAAATGATTAAGACTAATTTCTTCAGGAACGATAGTATCCTTTTTCTCATTTATTGGTTCGAAACATAATCGAGTTATTGATGGTATAATATTATCCAATGAAATGTCAGTAAATTTGACTTCAAGCACGTCTGTTGTTAATGAATTATTAGTAGAATTTGCATCATCACTATCGACTCGTATACTTAGCTGATAAGGGTTATTTTTGATATAACATTTTGTGGAATATATCGTGGATGACATGTGTTGTTTAAAGTAAATAAATAATGTATTACACTACGCAATCTGAATACCTATCGCTTGTCTCTGTTTTATAAACAACAACATGACACATCTCAACATTAGTTAGGAAGAAAAAAGATTCGAATTATTTTTAGAAGCAATGGAGAATCATTCGTTGCATATTCATCTGCATCTGTGATTGTATCGAAACGATAAAGCAAACAAAAAATAAAACGTGCGTTCTCTAACTTTTTGTCATGCCCTTTACTCTTTAAGTGAGCTGCGTGCATACATACCTTTCCAGTTGAATAATCTTCTTAATTGTAGGTATTCTATTCCAACAGAAAACATGTAATAATAAAAACGTGTAGAATCGGGTGTACGTAGGATATGGGATACGATTTTTTTCTTCTCTAAGACAGTATATTAATGTATGTTAATTGTGATCATTAAAAATCAAGCTTAAATTTAATGTACTCGAGAAAAATTTACTGGATGAAGCCATCTAAATAATATGCATCGCATTTGATTTAGTACAGCGAGCGATACATGTTGTTGTTGTATTTGGTTGTAATATGGTGGATAGTTCTCTTACAATTGTAGAGAATAGAGAAACGTTTGAGATTTTCATGATCGAGCATCAACATATACTACGTATTTTAAAAGCCATAAACAACACCAAAGCGAATCACGAAGTTGCTATAAATTATATTTTTTTCGATTTTAACGTAAGAATGATTTCTATTCGTTTAGGTTTTAGTGTCGCTGACTCTTCTTCAGTATAAATTGATCGAGTCAGATGATAGGTCTAAATGCTTTTTGTTTTCAATTAAATCAATCTTTTCCCGCATATTACTATTTACTTTAACCTATTCGATATCAACCGCTTATGTCAATTCGATAAATCAAATTAGGCTTGACATTTTAGAAACAATTGAATTGAGAGGAACAAGATAGTTTTGTTTTGAAAAAGTTCGATACATAAAGTTTATTTGTTGACTATAATGATCAATGACTCTGCTTTGCGTTTATTAGAAAGAAAGAGCAAAGTCCACATATCAAATAGGTTAAGGTTATTTTTTAGCCAATTTTTTAGTACGTTTTCTCCATCTTTTGTGTGCGACAAGTACCCCCTTAGCATTTATGTATAAATTGCGACTTAAAATCGACTATTTTCGCTTGTTGCATCTCATTTTCTTTTTGTAATTACCTATTCTATTCGACAAGGTTTCATTTTAGTGCGTAAAAATCTTGGCCTTTTACGTCGATAATGAATTACAGCTATTTTTGCAAAACGAAAATTTATGGAGCCAATTAACTTTCAAAAAGATTATTTTAGTAGAAAGGATTTTTTTTCTGAACTTGAAAATGTTCAGTTTTAACACAAGAAAAAGTGTTTTTGTTCTATAACTTTTGCTTAAATGAGTACCAGACGATAAAAGATTTCACATAGTGCCTATTTCTTTTCATTGATTGGATGCAAACTAAATCTTTTAAGAGCGAAAAATTCTTATAAACATGACTTGTTTTAATTGGAGAATCAATAGTATGGCAGTACAATATTTAAACTGCTTTGAACCATAATGAAATGTAAAAGTCTGTGCTTGTATTGCTGTTTTTACACCAATATAAAATGATGAAAGCTAGCCTTTCTATTTACTAGTGTGAAAATTGAAAATGCATGGTCATCAATCCATAGTTCCGACCTATTCTATTCAATCTTAAATTAAAAAAAGTATGTCAAAAAATTTTGATATGCTATTTTTGATTAAGATCTATATTTGCCAATTATAATTCAAGCAATTCTATGAGATATTTAGAGAAAGAAAATCTTAACGCATTAAAACGTGCATCTTATTCTGCAATCATTCGAAAATATTGTATTCATTCTATTGGCAAGTTTATTCATACGATTATGTAATAATAACAAGTAAGCCTTATGTTACTTTATCGAAATATAACTTTTATGAATTTCTACATTATGTATTTTCTTTGATATTAAATATAAAATATTCGTTGATCATAATCTAGAAAGTTTTGGATTGCATTCAAAAATGAAATCTTTTTCGGGTTTGTTCGTTTTCATCATATGTTAAATGATAAAATTTGACTTGTTTACTAAAGAATAAGAATAAACAATCACGAACTATGTGTCGTTAAAACTGTTGCATGTTTTTGTTTTTAATTACTCGATTGTTTGAAAAAATTTGTTTATCGCACACTTCACATATAGAAATATATAGACAATAGAATAGAATGACGAAAGAGAAGAAAACGAAGAAAGGTAATTCCAATTTCTAGCGAAAACATTGCCCGCCGATCATTTGATTTTTTTCTCATTCTCTCTCTCTCTCTCTCTTCGTCGTTCCACCCTGTTTATCTCTATTCGATTTGTTGACTTTCATCGGTTTGAAACATCAATTGTAAATTTTTAATGGCTACACATTCTACAATTCCATGGGGCTATTTAGAACCGATCAATAGTGTATATCCTCGTGGAATATTAACAAAACCATCTTATGTAATCGGACGCCATCCAACTGAATGTGATATAGTATTAGACTCGAATGAACTTCGACAAAATGAATATTTTATTCATTTAAGTTCTAAACATTTTGTCATCGAAATTACCAATAATAATCGATCAATAATATTCCGAGATGTTAGCAGAAATGGTTGTTATATTGACGGTGAACTTGTTCATCATGCGAAAATATCATTTCAAAATAAAGAACATATTATGTAAGTTTAACAAAATGTCATAAGAAAAATAGCACACTTTTCAGTTTATTTTATTTTATTTTATTTTTAGTTCTCTTGCATTAAAAGAAAATCGTGCATATAGATTTATTAATATCTCAGGTTTATTTGGTGTTATTGATCTTGATGAACGATATTTAAAAGCTAATTTACTTGGCTCTGGTTCATTTGCTAATGTTTATAAAGCTGTATCATATACGACACAAACATATCGTGCAATAAAAATTATAAATAAAGATCAATGTGAAAAACAAATTGGCCCAGGTTTTTCGAAATATCTTTATCGAGAAGTGTAAATAAATGTTTGTTGTTATATTAAATAGAATTTCTAATTGAAAATATTTGTTTTCGTATTTTCTTTTGAAACAAATAGATCTATTCATGGTAGTGTCGATCATCCGTGTATACTTCGTCGTTTTGATGTTTATCATGAAAAATCTGATCTATTTGTTGAAATGGAATATGCTGCTGGTGGTTCATTATTTGATCGAATACATAAATCGTATATTATGTCTGAAGATGAATGTAAATTTATTTTTTATCAAATAGCTTGTGCGCTTGCCTATTTGCATCGACTTAAAATAGTAAAATGATTATAGAATACATATTGATATGCTTTAAATTCGTTTTCTTTACTATTTTTGTAGGTTCATCGAGATATAAAACCAGCTAATGTTCTTCTTATGTCAAATGAAAGAGAAACAATTGCAAAGTTAAGTGATTTTGGAGTTGCAAAATATGTCTATGCATCATCAAGATATTTAAATACAACTATTGCTGGCACACAGCAATTTATGGCGCCTGAAGTGCAATTTCAAACAGGACATTCAACAAATGCTGATGTATGAAGTTTTGATTTATATTTCTCGAAGGAAATAATTCTAATTTTAACGAGACAGAGGTCTTCCATTATTTGAAACATCTAAGAAATAGTCTACTTGATTACATCAACAATTTTCTTTTTCTATAGATGGAAAACTTTATTTTTGATAAACAACATAAGACAAGGCTATGCTTTATGCAATAATGCAAACAGACTAGTATAAGATGAAAAGAAGAAAAAGATTAATATTTCTTTATACAGATAATTTTCAAGTCGATTTTAGTATTCGTCAAGGCTGAGTTTTTTGTGAACTGGCTCCCGTAATATATGAGGTGGTTCAAACAATTTTACTACAAAAATCATTTCGCAAAATGACGCGTCTCTGCAATGTAGCTCATAATTTTCTCGTGTGTGTCTTCTTTATCAGCCATGTACACTAAGGACAAGATGATAGTCTAAAATTAGTAGGGTCTGCTCACAGGCTTGAGAACATGATAATTTCCCAGGTCGAAAAGTCCGGCCTGAAAACGGCCGGTTCCGGGTAGTTCCGTTGATTTTGTGGAAGCAGTATTCCGGTTGGAAATTTTTCCGATCCATTCCTGCCAGAAAGCACTGGAATTTGGCAGGAATCCGCCGGAAAAGTCCGGTCGTATTTTTGACCGGAATACTGCTTCCATGCTCCGACGATTTTCCGCGTTTTCCTGCAGGATATGGTGACTTTCCCACCATATTTCCTGAAGTATCCTACGGGATCCCGGTGGTCGGAATGTTCGACCCGGGTTTCGCACAATGAAGCTCTAATGTTTCAAAATTTCACTCGACCCGACAAATCCGAATAACGATATAAAAAAATGTTTGGGTCAATCTCAACAGTGACTGCCACCTCTCACATTTTAATAAACAATACTCGTAGAGATTTTAATAGATATTATCTACTAGTTTTACTAAGTACGATAATGTTGAATCAAACGAATAGGAGTGAAAAACCCTTTCTTCATAAATCTGTAGCATACGCAATAAGCAAAATTAAACAAATACTAGTACATATTCATCCTGGAAAGATTTCCATCTCTACTGTCAAGAGGATTCGAGTTCGTGTGAATGAAATTGTTTTGCAGTAAAAATTTATGCTAGTTTTTCTTTTGGATTAAACATATTTCATTTATTTAGGTTTGGTCATTTGGTATGACTCTGCTCAATGCGTTTGTTGGAGACACGGTTTTTCGTCTACGAGGTATTCGTGCATTGAATTCAGTATCACATACAAAACGAGATCTCAAAGAAATTCTTGCAAAAACATTAGAAAAAAATACATTTGCTCGACCAGATATGAATCAATTATTTCGTTATAATTGGTTTCGTGATGGTGCATTTTTTGAACGAATTCAAAAACTTATACAGTCACAAACTGGAAAATGTTTAAATTTACCTTATGAAAAATTATTTTGATATTTAATCTCTATTTATGTATGTGTTATATTGTTTTCTTTTCTTCACTGTAGATATGACAGATAATCGAATTTTTCTGTGTTCATTTGATATTACTGATGTTCATATTAATTTCTTGTCCTCTTTTTATAGTGTGAAATTAAAATATAATTTTGGATCCAATCGGTCAAGTTTACTTTTTTTTATACAAAACAGAAAGCACAGCACTGCCTTGATCGAGATCACGCTGAATATTTATCTTAGAAAAATATTGCTATCATTATTTTTTAGTAACATTTTTATATTCAATTATCAACAGGAAAGACAACTGCAAGATTTAATTCTATTGAATACGAGATTATATCAAAATTTAATCATATGTCTAAAGTACTACAAAAAAAAGTATCGATTATCGTTAGGTTAGATATGTAGTAAAGCAGTTACAACTACCTCTGAGTTTAAGGAAAAGTTTTGGGTCGCTGACAACAATGGTATGAAAAAAAGATATATTCGTTTAGTTTGAACCATCATCATTTTCTCATGATTTGAAAGAGTATAATTATCGTGAACTCTAGTGTGACTAGTATGTAAGACGACTAATTATAATATCTTGAATAATTTTAGTATGATATTTCATGCTAGTTTAATCTAATGAGTTCAAATATTTCTATTTATGATAGAAATTCATTTGATTCTGATATCTGACTAGTTGTTTTACATACGTCGCCTAATTTTTAATATTTGATTTTTATCTTTGAACATGCTTGACTACATGGAAAAAATAACTTTATCACGTAAATAGATGAATTACTTCTAGAGAAAGAAAAATATTTAGATAGTTAATAGTAAATAAAAATTTATAAGTTTAAGTTGTTTGAGCTCGAAGAAAATAAAAATCATCAAAACAATATTAAAGTATCTTTCAGTTCTTCTATGATATTTTCCTATCACTGAAATTTATTTATGCGTATGTATATAACGATTTCACAATCTTTGTTAGATATAAACGAAGGTATAGAATGCATAAAGAGAATTAGATTCTAGTTAAAAGATAAAGTAACATAAATCACAAGCTCGTAAAATTATATCATATTCAAATTAGCTTCGTCTGACCAAGCCGCATGTTGTGAATCATCCATCAACCCAAAATGACGATTCGTTGATACTAGCCGATGATTTTGACCACCGATTTTTTCACCACATTCTGGACAGAGACTTTCTTGATTAGCACCGCCACACTAGAATGAAAATAATAATGTCTTATCTGAAGAAAGAAAAAACATATTGTCAAATAAATGCATACTTCAGTAATCACATATGGATGACCTTTGGGGCAAACATACCAATGGCCTTTAGTTAAATTTAATGCAGCAACAATTGAAACCCGTTCACGTTCTGTTATACCTAAACCAGATAAATTACATAAATGTTCTAATTTTTTAGCTTGACTATCGAATTTTTGTTTATCTAATGAAGTAAACGGGCTTGTTTTCTTGACAAGATATTTCATTGAATCAAGGCCTTCTTGATCGGCTGGATTCAGCTTTTGAGGTGGAATTTGTTGTTTTAATGAATGTAAAAGAGTTTCAATGAAAATTAATCGATTGATGCGTAGTAGTTCAGCTTCAATATCATTTATTTGCTGCTCAGCAAAATTTCGATATGGTGGATGTGCAAATAAATATTTAACAATATGATTCAAAGGTAAACGAACCTATAAGATATGAATTAATTGTATCAAAACATGAAATCAAATATATTTAAAATAAAATAGTATCACTTACTAAATCATCGAATATATTCATTTGTAATTTCTTTCGTCCATCAATTAAAAGTTTATCGATCTCATTCAGAAATGAAAGAGTATTAGTCATAAGAATTAATATATCATCTGTAAAATAATTATCTGGATCATACAATCCATTAAACAAAGCTTTTTTGTTGCCAAGACTGATCTCTTTCAAATTCGAATCAGTTCGTTCAAATTCTTTTATTAGAAGCTGTCGTTTGTTATTTAGATCTTTTTCCGATCGAGTACCCAAGATTTTTGTTTTAACTTGTGCAATTAAATTATGTACTCGATTAGAAATTCGCATGTATCTTGTACAACGACGAATATTGTGTTTACATCGAGGACATTCAGGAAAACGTAAAGCTGTATCTTCACTTTGATTATTGAATGTAGTTTCAATGAATTTATCGAGTGATGTCACTTCAACTAATGAAATGATAATAGAGATTCGTATTACAACGAACATATTTTGAATAACATACTTAAATGTTTGCAATCAGGTAAGAAAACAAAACGTGCATCAGGTTCATCTTCTGTACCGAATAATATTTCTTGTACAATATGCTTATTACAAATACGACATTGTCGAGGACATGGTTCACCGCACAGGCCAATACCTAAAATTAGAAGACAAATTTAACTAATCGAGATAACAGATCGAGAAATGTATATCTAATTACAATCATGGCCACATTTTAATTTTTGATCACAAGGTTCATTACATGGACCGCGATTGCATGGTTCGGAACATATACGAGTACATTGAAGATGTTTACATTTATAAGCACATGGCTAAATAAAAAATGTTTAACTCTGAAGTTTTCTCTCTTTTGTTAGTTGTGTTAGGTAAAAATTAGTATGACTATTTTATCTTTAAGAAACGATAAATTTTGTCATTTTTTAAAAAATATTTATATTTAATTAAATAAGACTTCTATCTCATAAAGAACATAGATAATTCTCTACTCGATCTATTACACGAACCTCTTTGCATGGTATACATAGTTCACCACATCTCTTTTTGCATTTAGAATGAATACAACGTGTTTCACACAAACTTAAACAAGGTGGACAATTTGTCGTACAAGGTGCTTTGCAAACCTAGATTCAATAAAAACAATAATAATCTTAGTTTTCATTACTAATAAAATACACTTACGTGTGAACAAATCAATGGACGTTCACATTTATATTCACATGAGATATGCAATCGACCATTTTGGCATTTTCCACATGTTCCAACGCATTTATGTTTACAAGTTAGCATTGTATTACAAGGTTTTGGACAAGGAAATCGTTGTAATTCAGACAACGATGAAGCAATACAACATGGAACATCGACAAAGTCACCACAAGGAAGACATTTTTGAATTGGATATCGACAATCAGCATTAGTTGGTTCTCGTGCACATTGAAAACGTATTTTATGGCCACATGTTTTAATGATTTTATCAATCATAACTCGGCACGGATCATGTTGGGTTGGTGTAGTAGCATGGCATCGTTTAGTACATAAATGACCACATGATAAAGCATCATTACATTTTTTACGACAAAGGATTTCTTTATGCCTAAAGAAAAAGTCAAATAAAAAGAACAATATCTCTAATTTGAATCATTTATTTTGCTGATATTTACTCGAAATCATAATTGTGACACATTAATTCACATTGATGTCCACACTTAAGTCGAGTATCACAAGGTTTATCGCAACCACCTTCTGGACGTTTTAAAAATGATTCTGGCGTATCAGCTACAAATGGTTCTTTTGAATGCTGACGACAAGAAAGTTGTAAACCTAAAAAGAAAATAATTCTTTTCAATATCATAAAGCAATTCTTAAACTAGCCTGTTCCAATTTCTTTGGTTTCAAGTAATGATTTAACTATGTTGTTCCACATTGATTCAACTTTGGCTAATAAAGTCATATTACCAATAACGAAAAGGCCACAACGTGCACGTGATAAAGCCACACATATTCGATTATGTATTTTAAGAAAACCTATCTGTTTATCGTTATTACTACGTACTAACGATAAAATAATTATATCACTTTCTTCACCTTGATAATTATCTGTTACCTATATGAGAAGAAGAGAAAAACAGTTATATAATTCTATATTCTAAATAAACAAATAATATAAATTGATAATACCATAACATGAACACCATTTAAAAGTTTATTTTTTTTTGTTTCTCGAGCAATATATTGTCGTTGACCAAGATACATAACAAGTATAGTTATTTGATGCGGTTCATAACTTTGTTTTCTCAAATATGTTGCTAATGCAATAACATATTTTGCTTCGAATTCATTTCGTTTTGAACTTCCATCAGCGACAGTTGTTTCCATATTCGAATGATTTATGAAAAAGACGTTATTATTTATGCCACGAACTGCTGGTCGGTCTGTTTTCACACTTATATGATCGTCCAAATCATCGTAGAAATGTTTCATAAGACGGGCAATTTCTGGGCGCATACGATGCTTCAAAAGGAAGAAAGACGGATGTTTTTTTTTATTGAAAATAAGTGAAAAAGATCACTCTCATTTTTTTCGCCTTAATTCTTGTACGACTTTAGATTATGGCTATAACTTTAAAGCCTTAGCTATCATTTCTCCCCTGAGGAATAGTAGTACGTCAACTTTTACGAACAATATTCATGCATTTTATACATTCTGATTTATTCGAAAAGAATGATACTACAAATACTAGCCTATCTCCACAAATAATTATTCTATACATCTAGCATAGTTTTTTCGTCTATATTTACAATTTATTACGCATCATCTTTGCCAAAATCGATAGTTAATTCAAATTTAGATTGATGCTTTTCATTATGAAATTTAGTATCGTACTAAATGAACCTCTCGAACTCAGATATTCTGGTCATGGTTGTTAGTTTCACTTTTCAGTTTTAGATAAAAATATTGCAACTTTATTCAAGTCGAATACTGGTTATCTTCATTATGTTTTTCCTATCTAAATCGTACAATAATAAGCGTATAAATAGCAATACTCTTATAGCATAAAAATGAGAAAATTATTTTTCCCGGTATTGCTGTAAGATCAACGATTCGAAAATGTTCACGGAACATTTTCAGTATAAATTAAAATGTGCTCTTCGTTTTCTGAACTTTATCTATTTAACATTGCTGATTAAACAATAAAAAATTACTCTGAAATTTCATTAATTACTTGAGTAAATATGAAGATCTAATAAAGATTATTTACCTGCATATTCAAGCGAACATTTGGAAAATTATTTTTAATAAAACGTTCGAATAAAGATACATCCATTTGATATTTATGTGCAAGTTTATATACACTTGGACTAGGTCTTAATTGTACATGATCACCAATTAAAATTAAATGTTCACATTTTGTACTTAATGCCGTAATAATATGTGCTTCGAAAATTGCAGCTGCCTCTTCAACAATAACAATTTTACTTTCTAGAAAAAAAAAGAATGATTTTTTTTTGTTCTAATTCTATAAATTATTCTCTTTTATTTTTCACTTACGAAGTTTTTCTAATACATCATGGTATTTAGCTGCACATGTTGTTGTCATCGCAACAATAATACTATCTTTCAATATATAATAATCTTCTTCTTGATAATATTCAGCAAGTGCAGACGCTGCTTGATTGTACGCATGTCTTGCTTCCCGCACAGAATAATGCAAATATTGTTGATATTTCAATAGCCAATAACGATATAGATCATAACGTTCCAACATCTGAAGTTGCCAAAGATCACTGCCTATTTGTTTTACTGTTTGATCATCTAATGTTGTCGGATTTTGAATAATATATTTTATTAATCGACGACGGTAATAAGGTTTTCGTTGTACAACACTCCATTTATCTTCAGTATCCTCATTTGTCGATACTTTTGGTTCTTTTATTGATGTCGATTTTGTAGTTGTTGATGTTTGGGTAGTAATTCTAATAAAATTGCTGTCATCAATCTCCAGTTCATCTCGTCGACGTTGTTCTTCCTCTTCTTCTTCATTAATTTCTTCATCATCGTTTTTTTCTTCTTTAGTACAATCATTTTTTTCTTCTTGTTCGTTGTCATTAACTTTTTCTTCCTTTTCTACTTCATCTTCTTGTTCTTTTTTGTCATTGATATTCATATCGGACATGTATGTTTCAAGTTCTACTAAATTAATTGGATCGCCAGGCATCTCTTCGTTTCCATAAGTAATACCAAGCCAATCTGACAATGCTGTTTCCACAAGTATACCATTATGTGGAAGTAATAATGATGAAAAATGTTCATCATCAATAAGATCGAAGCGCATAAGTGATGAAAGTGGAATAATATTTGTTCGCGATTGCTCCATTATAGCTTCATGCATTTTTAATGTTTCTTCAGCTTGAGCCTTTTTATCGAAGATAGCATGTTTTTGATGATAAATATAACTGGGTATTGAGCGATTTTCGCGAACGTATTTACGAGCATTGAGTAATGAAAATGGTTGAATGACCGGATTTTGACACCGATTACCGACACGAATAACACCTAAATTTAATTTAAATTAGATTTTGACCCAATAAAAATAAAACCTAATTTCACCTTCTTTTATCTTGAGACGTTTTAAGATTAATTCCAAAAATTGATCAAGTGCATGGTTTGTATGACATATCATTAGAATCGGCGTTGATTGTTCAGTTGGTGGACACCACATCGAGCGATTATGTAAAAGCATTTCAGTTATTCTTACACCAAGAAATGTTTTTCCAGTTCCTGGCGCTAATAAGAAATAAATAAAATTCTATTTAATACAAAGTTTTCTAGCATAGTCCTTCTAATATTAAAATGAAAAACATGGCAGAGATGACTTTATTATCCTATTACGTAATCATACAGAAATTCTACAATGCAGTAGTTCATACATGAAAACAAGCACTAATTGATATTGGAATTCTGACGGTATCTGGCTAACGAAGCCAGTATGTCTTATAAGATTAAGTTCTAGAATGTGTATCACCAGGTTAATATGATCGAGTTTCGAATCATTTTTATGATGAAATACGGACTAGTAATAGATCGTCACTAGGCATGTACAAAGAGTTCAATTGGTTGAGTGAAAAGACTCTTAGCTTGGACTAAAATTTTATCCAAACTTGCTTCTAGCCAGTATTCTGTATTACGAATCACTTGTTTTCTAATTTCTATGTTCATTTTTACTTACGTCCTTGAATAAGTGCTACTTTTTGTGTCAAAGCTAGAATCAAAGCTTCTCGTTGTTTTGGATTAAGATGTAATTCATCACTTGTTGGCCATTTATTTACATCAAGTAATGGAACAGCTCTAAATTTGGCTGCTACACGATTAGATTCTCTATAAGTAATTTGAAATTCTTTGCCGGTATCTGTTCGATCAGGTACTCGGCCCCTTAAACCACGCCTTGACACGTCTGGGCGAATAATGGTTGTTTTCACGTCTGAATTAGGATCAACGAGAAGCGGAGTAAAATCATAGGTTGTAGATGGTTTTACATAGTCAGGTGGTATTTTTTCATTAGTTAATTTAAGAAGAAATGGAGCCAGAGGAAATGGTTCATCAATATTGATTGATTGTAATGCACGAAGCACTGGACGATAAGCTTCGAAATATGTCGTTGTTTCAATCATTGTTAATGTTTGAGAAAAATCAATATCGTCGAGATCGATTTGCAGTTGTTCATTCATATTAAATTTTTCCAATGCCTTTACCTGATGTGATCAAAAGCAACAAAATTGTTTTGTTTCTAATTAAAGTAAAACGAAATGAATTTACCGATATAGTATATTCTTTTTCAAGTTTTATTCGATCTTCAACAGTAACAAATACACATGAATGAAATTGATCATTCGTAAGAACAAGTAGATTGCCGAATATTAATCGTCGACTATTTGCCCAAGCAATTTTTGATGCCATTTTAGGATCCAAATATAAATCATAAACAATACCATTTCGTGGACTTAGCCGTGGACCAAGGCAATGCACATTTTCATAAACTCGTACATTAAAATTTTTACCCGATGCATTAGATAGATGTTGCTCAATACCATCACGTAAAGGGCCAACGAAATCTTCGCGTAAAAGCCGAAAATGAATCTTTAAAAAAAATTGAATCTATATTTGACAAAATAACGTGAAACTCACGTATTGAAACTTACGTCAAGATAATGTTGAGGACTTTCATAAACACCATTGATGATATTTTTTCGAAGATATGTCTTTTTTTCTGATAAAATTTCATTAACATCAGGTACAATTTGTAATTGGCGATAATCATCTGGTGGTGGATCCTCATTATGTTCTACAGAACGCTGATTCGTAGTAGTTGAATCAGTAGTATTTTTTGTTATTGTAACTGATTGTTGACGGTAGCATTTTCTACGATCAACATCATTGACAAGTTCAAGCACATCAGCAAGTATTGTTTTCGTTTCTTCCAATTGCTAAAACAATAGAATAGAAAAATATCAAACTGAAAATGATCTATTCTATTAGTTTTACAGGTGAGTTTGATTTTGTTTTAGTAAATAATAGTTCAATACGTTCGAATATTTTTGTTAAATCATCAGCTGAATGTGGTATCATAGAAAGAAATGCAATTGATATTTTAAGAAATGATTGAATAAAATCATAACGTAAATCATCAGTAAGTGCATCAAGTTGACGAACTTCATTATAAACACCCTCGATATAGGATGTTTTCGGCAGTTGTTGTAAAATCATTACGATACGCTCACGTGATCCTATACATTTTATTATTTGTTCAAGTAATTTTGTCATTGCTGATATCCAACTAAAATTATTTCGCATACGATTATCGTGTAGAAATCTTTTGAATTGAAAATTAGGGCGAAGCATTTCAGCAAGAATTTCATCTTGTTGTTTATCAAGTAATTTTATCAATGTATCATATTTAATATGAGGCTGTGTATATGTTTTAGTAGATCTAGAAAATTTTATAAATATCACATTTATTTTATTAAAAATTCAAACGATTACCTATTTTCAGTTGCTGAATCAACAATAGCAGCAGCAGCAGCAGTAACAGAAACAGCCGAACCAGATCTTATAAATGAACGACGATTATTACCCCTCTGATTATTATTAATATCATTATTCCCATTAGAGTACCGACGATGATCATTTGAATTTATTGTTCTTGCTGCACCTCTGCTTCCAAATCCTCGACTTCTATTTCCATGATGTCTAAAATAATAATTAAAAATATATTTCAAAAATTTTGAATTATTTTACTATCGAATACTTACCTAACAACACCTGAATTCGATGGAGTAAGCAAATTTTGTTGACTTCGATCAACGTTAGGATTAGGTGGTGGACGAGTTGAATCAGCTGATGGCTGCGCCGTTAACGATGGAATGGGTATTTCAACAGTTGTATGTGATCGCATCATACCACTACCACTGGCTGATTGCTGTGCCATTAACGATGGAATGGGTGTTTCTGCAGTTGTATGCGATCGAATCGTACCACTACCACTGGCTGATGAAAACCCACGACGAACTCGAGAGTTCAACATGTTAAATATTTTTTCTCACTAGTATTTTTCAATATGTTGTTTACGCAATGTGAAAAGCAGCAGTTGATGCTTGACACTTTTAAACACAGCAAGAGCAAGTGGTTTGGGTTTTTTCAAATAGAGAAAAAGAACAATAATAATAAAATCAACCATGAGAAAGAAGAACGCGGATAAAAAGCACATGGCAACATGCAGTTGATATTTATTTTTATTTCTCTTGAATCATTGAAAACAATTTCTTGTTCTGTCCCTGTCGTCTCAAAGAGAATCTAGAAAAATGATTCATTTTTGTTTTTTGCAACTAGCGTCTTCTTACGCACAAATAACGACCTATAAGTTCAACAGTCAAAATAGCAACAAGAGTAAATGAGAAAATTTGTTCACATAAAATTTTTCTTTAATTCGTCTATATAGAATCTATATATGCATTCTATATTTTACGCATAGATACTGATTGATGTACTAAAGAATAGTACTTTTTGAAAAGAAATATTTACTGTTATCTAAAACAAATGTAAACACAACAACATGTTTTACATTACAAAACAAGATCCTTTCAGAGGTTTACAAAATTTCAACGTAATAGCAGCAATGACAATAATATGCTTGTAAATGTATTTTATGAAAAAACTTGAACACTTGAAATTGAAAAGTTCATTTTTCCACATAATTATTAATTCAAAATAAACTTTCAGTGGCATAGATGTATATAATGATTCATACAACAAATGAGCGAGTGTAAAAACTTACTAGAAACTGTCAAACAAAAACAAACTATCGAAAAAATAATACAGATCAAACGTAGCAAAAACAACAAGAGAAAAATAGAATTAACTGTACCAGAACGTCCTTATTCCAAAGAAAATAAGCGAAGAAAGGAAAATCAATACTAAACATGAAAGAGAGAGATAACTAGGAAAAATCCTATGTGTATTTTGATCTAACTAAGACGGAGGCACAACACCAATGATTTCATTTTTTTTAGTATGATTTAGATTCATTAGCTTAACAAAAACGTTCCTACTGAGCAATCAATTTTGAGTATAAATCAACGGCTTCGAAACAAAATGACTGTCATACAAACAATTGTTAATGCTGCGCAAAGCATAGCATTATTATGTAGTTCTTCGCAAGTTTTTATAGTAATAAATCTTTGAATGGCTACTTTAACGGTACTGAAATCTCAGTCTGCTACTCAGTTGCCAATGCCAATGAATAAGAAAATGAAATCAATGACATTCTAGACAATGAAACGGGTGTTATTTTGATGTATTTCAATTACATGCATGAAATGACGATTTTAATCGAGCAAATTACAACAGTTTGGTCTTTTTTTTATGAAAGTCATTAAATTATTTTGATGTATTTCAATTACATGCATGAAATGACGATTTTAATCGAGCAAATTACAACAGTTTGGTCTTTTTTTTATGAAAGTCATTAAATTATTTTGATAAAAATATTTCTTTTCACGCAGGAAATTGAAATAAATAAAAGATAATATCCGTTTCATCATTTTAATGACATTTTTTTCATTTCTTTGTTATCTGAGTTAAAAATTGTTTTTTAAAATATGCTGCGGGTGAAAAGGGATGCAGATGCAAGAGATTTTGAAAGTCATGTATATAACACTGATTTAGAATGAATTGAAATTTCGATTTTTTCGTAGATTCGACTGTGCTTCGAAGCACCGTATTTTGTACAAGAGTAAAACTCAGATATTAAATAGTGTTGTATTACATTTCAATCAAATATCATATGCATCAAAGAGAACCTTTCATGTGCATTCGAGCTACAGTAAAATTAATTGATTTCAGTTTTCACCTAGTTGGAAGCAGTCAAGTGTATCGTGTTGAAGAATCTGACAATACTGTGCTATCATAGACATATCTGATTTGAAGTAGTAACAAACATACTAAATTTCTCTCAAATGAAAATATAATATAATAAAATAACTTTTTAATACATCAGCTTTATATTTCGTATAGTATAAACATGATATAAATTGAAACAAACTATATTATAAGATCTCCACGTTATTTTAGAATATGGATTACAAACTCGTATCAAAGAGAATTATGAACTCATACGATAATTATTCAGGACGACCAAGAGAATTTTCGAAAAAACGTTATACAATAGTGGGTATGCAAGTTTTATGAGTCCAAAATGCAAAGTCTTACTGGTGGCGACAGATGTGCCAAAGTATACTTTTCGGTATGGATAAACCCATTGGAACAAAATATATGATGAAATAGATAGCGCAATCTATTGATTCTTCGTCATATTGAAGAGACTAATCTAACTGAATGATGAAGTCCCATAACTGAAAGAGAGCAATGAGTAGTATCCATGCAGTATACTGTCCACTTTTTCATATCAATTGTTTGATTATCACTCTGCAGATATCTGTTCGATGAACTACGTACGATAAAATTTGAGGATATAGTGCAAAAGTTATTAGTAGGGGTGTCAATTTACAGTTTATTTAATTTAAATTTAACTTCATGAAAAGTTAATTTAATTTTAAATAAAATTCTATAAAGTTAAATTTGAAATAAATTTAAATTTTTCTCATACAAAAATTTAAATTTAAATAAAATTTAAATTTAATTTTTGAAAATTTATTTCTCGATTTAATAAATTTTAAATTTAAATTTAATAAATTGTTTGGATGGATACACATCATTGCTACGAGGAAAATACGTGACTTTAATAGTAGTAAATACTAAATGAGAGGAAGACCTAGTATTTTAGGTTAATATTTGTTCATGATAGTCAAAATGTCTCTACAGGTTATGCAGGATCTGTCATCTTCCTTCTTCAAAATACTGGGATACTCATAAAAATATATTTAATAGCAAAATTCGTAGAAAAATGAATAGCTTTAACTTTAGAAAACAGGAAACATACTCAAATTTGCCTTTAAATAGTAGCAATCAAGTCAAAAACTATGTTTATCTACTAGTTTTCAAAGTTCAACTTATTTGAATTTCAAAAAATTTTATTTAAATTTATTTTAAATTTAAATGTGACACCCCTAGTTATTAGAAGACGATCGTGTTTAATACCAGGCATTTTTTCATGAACCCCAGGTCGAACTCGTACGGCGGGAGACGGCAGGAAAACATCGGAAATCACTGGAACGTGGAAGCAGTATTCCGGTAGGAAATTTTCCTGTGAATTCCCAACGATTCCCTATGTTTTTAGGCAGGAACCGATTGGAAAATCACTGAAAAACAACCGAAAAATTCCGGCCAGAATACTGCTTTCGATTCCCGCAATTTCCAGTGTTTTCCTGTAGAATACAGTGGTTTTCCCGCATTTTCCTGCCGGTTCCCGCAGTATCCGCTCTCCAGAATCATTGACCTGGGACAATACGTATTACCATATGATCCGGTTCCAGCTGAGATCACGAATTCAGCATCGATTATGATCAAACACATCACGAATCGTCGTGGTAATTCTTTCGTTTCTACAACACAAGCAAATAGAACAATGTTTAAGTATCCTATGGAGGGCTTAAGAATTCACATGAAAAATATACTTATTGCTGGAGCAACCCAGGAGAACGATTCTAGCAATCGGAATACAATCAGATCCGACAGAAGTTCGATGGAATTCCTTTCAAAGTCGATAGCACGTAGCGCAGAACTTTAGTCGATCTCTAATGCTAGTAGTTCCTCAACTTGGAATGCCATAGGACTCTTTCGGTTGCTTGGAGTTCATAGGGTTCAATCGAATTTATTCACACCAGTTGTGTTATTTTAAAATAGAAAGATGAAACTTCGTAAATAATACATTGCTATATTAACCTTGTTTGAGATTGTAGACATATGCGATGCTTCTAGGATATCATGTGATTCTAGGCGATCAGATTTGCTTTTTCAATAATAAAATATATTTATGTCAATATAGTTCAGTGATCCAGCACAATTTTGTTTTCGAAAGACTTTCAATAGAAAATTTACTATAGAAAAAAAATTCTCTGATAGCATCTCTAGTCACATTTCTACTAATAGCTCGAGTATTTTGAACTGTCAGCTGCAATAATTTCTCAAACTTACTGTTGGCAAAAAAAATTGATCTCAAGGACCCAGGTCGAGAAATCCCACATCGAATCCGATAGGAGCTTGATAGTATCCGACCATCCGACAGAATCTTATAGGATTCCGGGTCGAGGAATTGACGTCGGAACCACTGGTCGGAACCCATTGAACTTCCGATGACATCCAACGGTGTTTATTTGGAATTCATAAGAATCCGACACTGAGGATCCAACTTCGAACCCGGAGCCCGGAATCCGACGATAGGTCTGCAGGGTCCGACAAAATTCGATAGGATCCTACTGAGTGCGATTTGGATCGGATGGGTTCCGATTGGTGCCTGCTGTTGGATTGCTCGACCTGGGAATGTTTATTAAAGAATATCTATCTTTTAGAAAATATTTTGGAACACTCCAGTCCAAAAAAATAACATCACCAATGGCCTTAAATTCCATATTCACCCATACCAAATTATGGAAGAAAAACCGAGGAAAAACGATGGCTGTTTTCAAGTAAAAAAACGACTCATAATATGGTATGATAAATTACAGCGAAATATGATGAGAATTAATGCAATAGCTTCCCGTTTTGCAACTGCTTCAGGTCGAATATGACTCTCTCTGTAGTCGTCGAAATGATCGACCGAGGGGGGCAAGGATCTATTTCTAAAAAAACGATTGGTTAAAATAACTATGCTTTAATGAATTAATTTCAATGTTTGGTTTATCATTTGAGGCAAATTTCTTCATACTTTTGATGCACTATTTATGAGAATTATATTTTGTTTTTTATTTATCGACTGTGTGTGAACTTTCTGAGGGCCTGCAGAATGCCTAACCAGCAGAATTCAGAATTTTGTTATTTCGTACATAGCGAAAAAGTAGCATAATATAAACATACACACTACCATAAGTGGAAAATAGAATTCTATCCGTAGTAGCACAATTATAACCA